TCAGCATTCCATATTTGTGAAGGAAAATACCTAAAGCACATTCAGGTTGCAAGTTTGTGTTCTTAATGTCAAGTAATACTGTATGCAGGAGTCCAATTATCTACCTTCCTAAAAGCTCATAAAGAATGCACAATTAATGTACAACTGTCATGTGTTTCACTGCTTTAATGGACAGTAGATGCCATGAAGGTATTTGGTGATCTGACACAGGACATTATCTTGCATGGTACCTGCAATATAGAAAACAATTCTAGTACACTGGTCATTAAATAGAAAAGTCATATCTGAGAACTAATTTGTATTTCATGTTTCCATAAACAGCAAACAGCATGAAGCTTTGCTTATATACCATCAATATAATCATTTATTTTTTGTAAGTTAACAGACTTACAGTTTTATGAGGAAATTCAGATCAAGAATTTATTACAGCCCAATATTTCTCAACCCTTGCTTTTAATCATTTATTAACTTCTGTGTACACACAATAAAAAAATTACTTTGCTCACTAGATAACAAAAAAGAAAAAAAGAAAGAAAGAAAAAAAAAATCAGTTGAGAAATACTGCATCAGTATATTATTGACCTGCATTCAACATTTTACTGAGATAAATAATGAGCACATATGTGAATTAAATCATTCAGCATAAAGGCATTATATGTACTACACTGGATCGTCCATCTGATGACTGTAATAACAGAAGAAAATAGGCCTTTATATATATATATATATAAAAATATTCACAAAGGCCTCTCTGCTACCAGCACTATTGATTCTATAATTTTTTCCCCTGTGGCTTACTTAAAAAAATGTGCAATAAATCAAACCAGTAAGCACTATGATACCACATTTTAAAAAATAAAGTTATATTACTGTAATAGTACGAAACCCCTCCCTAACTAAAAATACCCAAATCCTCCTTACTTGAAGAATCTTTTCTCATGTATCTCATGTACTATATCAAATAATTTAAATACTTTTCAAAAGTTCTCTAGATTCTTAAAATAGAACACCACTAAAATGGCCAACTGATATTGATAATTTAATACATTACATCATGGCATATGTGTGACATGCTAAATCTTTTGCATTTTAGAGCTGTATAGCCTTTGCATATAATATCTTTATCTTAAATCTAAACTTATGAGACTTGGATTTTCTCAATTCTTTGTTACTGAACTATGTGCACATCATTCGAGACTTTAAAAAAAGAAAATAAATAGGATCAAATAAACAAATAAGATAGTGATAACAATGAAAAAACACAAACAAATAAATATTTTCCATAGCAGAGGGAAAGGTGTAACATCATTCAGACATGAGATCATTGAGTAGCAGCAAACATGTGATAAATATTATGCTACAAGGCTGCAAGAAAGTTAAAAGACATTTACATTATTACATGCTCAGGAATGCTCCAGCATACATATAAAAATGGTCAAAAATATCACTTCTAACTCAGCTTAGTATTAATATCATTTTGTTTTTAGTTTGTCAATTACACTATAATTGGAAAATTGTGATTTGATCAGAAATGTAAACAAAAACATTTGTCTACTGTAATTAGGCTTAAGAGGCAAACATTCACCTACCATCAACAGTCAATAATGAGAGATCACAACTTCATATATTAAATAATGGCAATTTTCTGTATCCTTTAAGGGAAATGATGCGTCTTACAAGCCAGGGAATACAGTAACAAAAGCTTATGTTTCTACTTTGTATTCCATGTAAACATGCCCAATTCCATTACAAGTGGGATTTCTTTTTTCTTATTTTTTAAAATTCTTTTTTAAAGATGGGTAAGGATATCATATGCACAATTCTCCCCCTTAGGGGATTTTCAGCTCATGGTAGGGCTTGCAAGACTTCATCCCTGCAATCGGGATACAATCATGGCATAATATGACGTCATCTGTTGCCGCTGATTACTCGCCATGACATGATACACATCACCTGTTTGCTAATAGTTAAAGCAAGGGTTGGAGAAATAGCTATGGTGCTATTTAATATTTTGATATAAATTTTCTTTAACATTCTAAATATAAAAGACACATACACAACTGAATCATTTAACTAGAAGGTTTTCACATTTTCCTATTCACAACCATAAAGTAAAGTAACACAAAAAATTATTTGTTGCACATAGCACATTTTGAAAATAGTCTTCTTTGAATTTTTTCTTTTCTTTTTTCTTAGAAGTTTCTGAAGAATTTTATACGGTCAATTTTGGAACCAAACCATTTAATATCAAAATATAAGAAATATAATCTCATCAGCAATACAACAACTTACACAATGAGAAATAGAAACGACAGTACGTAACTAGGGCAGTAAAGATAAGAACTAGAAGCTAACTTTTAATATGATGAGGGTTCCATATATGTTTTGGCCATGAGGATATGATTCCTGTCTACAAACAAAAATGAATCTTGAAATAAAACCTTCATATAGATATTCGTTTGCAATTTGCATATATTTACAGCACCTTACATAGAATAGA